CCTCATAGACAGGGTTTGCCAAGTTTTGCAGACATCAAGGAGTGTTACAAAGCTGCTTCTGAAAAATACAGTATTTTAAAATATGATGGTAAAAGGTAGAATTCGGTGTTGTGAGAATTTCACTCATTCCTCAACTAGCAAAAGTGTTACGAGGTAGATAAAATAGAAGTCAGAGTGGGGGCAGGACATTCAGTGCAAAAGATGTCTGTAATTAGTTTCATAAGTGGAGGTAAATGTGGCAGAGTGGAAGCAGCTGGAAAATGGCAAAAGCATGCTCAGAAAAACTGCATGGCAAAAGGCTAGAGGTGTAAGTACTGGCTGCCACAATTTTTGTTGTTGTCAAACACATTATTCCTCACTGGGTTGGAATATTAGAGTCAGGGGAGCAGTTTCTAATTTCATGCTCAGATTCATGCAAACATGATGAACTTCAGAGGACTTGTACACACATGACAGCAATAAATTAATTAAAACCTGGAGCTCAAAGTGGATACGCTGTCTTATAGAATGATTAATGGCTTAATTTTTAATTTTGAGTTCATAAATATCTATGTTTCATGGAATGCTGTAATGTGCATGTTGTGCATCAGGGTTTTTTTTAACCTGATTTCTTAATAAAATGAGGCTGATGCAATCATGCTCCTCTGTCATTCTGCCTTCTAATGGCTCTCATTTCCCCAAGTCAGGTCTGTTCTGCCCATGACTGTAATCAGAGTGATCTCACCCTGCCCTTATCTCCACCCATGAGCCTTTTTTTTAAGTTTTTCTCTCCCTTGTCCAGCTGAAGAGGGGAGTGATGGAGCTGCCTTGGTGGACCTGGCATCTAGCCAGGGTCAAAACACCACACCAAGAAAACCATAGGATATCTACCTCCTTTCCCTTTACTTGAGAGGTATATAAATAAAGGAGGGAGCCCTGAAGGATTCAAAGCATTTAAGAACGTTTTCATCTGGGCATATAGAAGATCGAGGCCAGGTTGGATGGGGCTCTGAGCAACCTGGTCTTGTGGAAGGTGTCCCCACCCATGGCAGGGGGGTTGGAACTAGATGATATTTAAGATTTCTTTCAACCTAAATGATTCTATGATCCTGTGATCAGTACTGTGGGGAGGGGTCTCTGACTTTATGGAAGTCAAACAGCCCAATGAGGTCAAGCACTAAAAGGCAATGAAAGTCATCTTTGGTTTGAGCTGGGTTTTAGCCTGGTGCTGGCTGGCAGTGTGGCTGTGAAAAGCAGGAACTTGGTGAGGATGTGAGAGCCAGGAGAGTCCTAAAGTTGCCCACAATTCTCAGTGTGGCTGTGCAGCAGGAAGTGGAGGTTTTGTGGTGAAAGGTCAATGTTGTGAAGTTACAAAGTGTTTTAGGAAAAGAAGGGCAAAAGTAAGATTTTACCAGCAGGTCTTTGACTATGCAAATGATATGGGTAGACTTCAAAAAAAAAAAATAAAAAGAAAGAAAAAAATTAATCCTGCTGAGACTTGCTGTCTTAGACTAGGGGCAGATGTTTACTTCCAAGACACTTCCCTTAGCTGATCTTAGTATATGTATCAGATGCAGAAGTGGTGCTTCTCCTTATTCCAGCAAATACTCATTTCCCTATCCCTCTCCCAGCCTGACCATGGGATTCAACAGAACAACTGCTGACCACCTTTTGCCTGTTGCCCTGTCCCTAAATTGCCTGGCTGTTCTACATGGGCAGGAATGCAGAAATCTGAAGAATTCCTGGGTTAACTACTAATTATCTTAAAAGTCAAATACAACTAAGTGAGGGATTGCCAAAAGGAGACTCGCAGGTTCTGTATCCAGCATGGAAACTGTAAGGATTGGAGAAGACTAACCCATAATTTAGTTGGTCGTTGTCCATTTTAGGAAGTGCAAGTAAACCAGCTGTGCTTTATGGAGCAGTTGGGTGAGCACTGTGATAGGAAAGTGCTGGAGAGGAACCAGCCATGCTGTGGCTGCTGTTCTTTGCCCTGTAGCAGGACTGGTCAGGCTCACAACCCCCAGACACACAGGGGTGCAGTGAGCCCAGGTGCTGCTGCATGAGGCAGCTGTGCTGTGTCACCAGCCGGGGTCACAGAGCTCTGGGGTCCCACCCTTCCCCTGTACTCGGCACTGGGGAGGCCACACCTCGAGTGCTATGTCCAATTCTGGGTCCCTCAAGCTTCAGGAAAGGCATTGAGGTGCTGAGGTTCTCTGGACTGAGTCCAGAGAACTGTTCTCTGGACTGAGTCCAGAGAAGCGCAAAGGAGCTGGAGAAGGGTCTAGAGACTCCTGTGAGGAGCAATTGAGGCAGCTGGGGGTGTTTAGTCTGTAGAAAAGGAGGCTTGGGTGTGACCTTATTGCTCTCTACAACTCCCTGAGAGGAGGTTGTAGCCAGGTGGGGTTCAGGCTCTTCTCCCAGGCAGCTGCACACAGGACAAGAGGAAATGGCTTCAAGCTGTGCCAGGGGAGTTTCAGGTTGGACATCAGGAGGAATTTCTTCCTGGAAAGGGTTGTCAGACATTGGAACAGGCTGCCCAGGGAGGTGGTGAAGTCACCATCCCTGCAAGTGTTCAAGAAATGACTGGATGTGGCACTCAGTACCATGGTCTAGTTGACAGGGTGGTGATCAGTCAGATGTTGGGCTCGATGAGTTTGGAGGTCTCTTTCTACTTTAATGATTCTGTGGTGACCAGCACGTGGGACAGGATGCCAGTGCAAGGCTGATGAGTCCTGTTTTCCATGTGTAACAGAACTAGAGGAGCAACGTGCTGCAATGTAAAAAGGGATGTGCCCTTTTGGGTCCGTAGCACCGCAGTGTCCTTAATGTGAGGACAAATGCCAGAGTGCTCCAGACTTTGCTCAAAATGAAGAGGCTGTGGAAGTAGAGCCAAAGTGTTTTATTTGAGGATAATACTTGACATTTCAATTTTTGCTTGTGCCATTTGTATGCTCTTTGGGCCCTAGTCTGAAAGGGGCCAAGCTGGGCGTTGAGAGAAGGTAAGTACTGGTCTAATGACTGTGATAGACAGAATCACAGAATTATTTAGGTTGGAAAAGCCTCCAAGATTGAGTCCAACCTTTGCATGGTCTGACACTAGACACAGTCATCAGCAAAGCTGCTTTCACGTGGCTGTACAGAAGGCAAGTAAATAGTTGGGAAGGAATTGTTCTTTTCTTGTTTGTTTGAACTGGCTTTTGCGATAAACCAGGGGAAGAGAATGGTCTTGGAAGTGAAGAACTTGGTGTATAATGTTTGACAGTATTTATTAGAACTTTGCCAGTGGAAAAGATAAATGAGCCCACTGCTGTGTTAGGAAGTTACTGAACCACCATGGCTACGTCCCATACAGGGATGTGTGAACACGGGTCTTTTGGCTGTGTGAGACAACTGTGCCTTGCAGCCTTTAGGGGAGGGAGGAGGAAGGAGGGTTCCACTTGTTTCTTTTTAAACAGAAGTCTCTGCTTCCAAACAACTGTTCTGAAAGTAATTTATTAGTGAAAGAAATGTTTCTTTCATTCTTACCCAAAAACACTGGGAGAACTTAGATTGTTTATCATAAATTTCAACATTATTCAACTTGCTTTGCTTTGCTTTCTGTGGTAGGGACAATATTGGCTATATTGAAACATGGGTTTTTTTCCCCTGTAATGTGCTTCTGAAGTGGGTAGATTACTAATGATGCAAATGGATGCTAATTGTGCAAAAACTAGACACTCTGTGCTTTGAAAGGCAGTACCTGCTTTGTGGAAGCGATGGTAGAAAACAAGCTTTCACAAGTAAAATTGCTGTACAGTTTTATAAATAGCAGCATACTATAAGCAGGTGGCAAGTGAAAATGGTTTGATTCCTCACAGCTGGCAGGTACTTCATTTTTAGGCATGGGGTCCACATCACCTTCAGATACTTGACTGGTGAAAACTATTTGTTACCATCTGCTGGTTGATCTGGTCATTTGCAACATTTTATAAAAGCTGAGAACAAAAACTGTCAGCAAGCTTTGGCTGTGGCAGAAAATCAGGGTCATGCTTCTGGTTTTTGGGTGAGAATTGGAGGCTGTGGTTCAACAGCCTGGTTGGCCTTGTCATAGGACTTCTAGTATCCAACAGGTCAAAAAGGCCAGTGTCAGATAACACAGAGTTTGGAATAAACTCAATTTGGTGTCTTGGTTAATACATTTTGTTGGATTAACTTTGTACTGACAGGGTTTATAGTGAATCAGGCTTGTCTGTCTAAGTTCCTGTGACTTTCTGCTGGTTCAGACGTTGCCAGTGTTTCTGCACCTGTTATAAATATGGCATGTGCTCAAAGTTAAGTGCTCTGGCTAATTTAGTGGAATCAAAATTCTGCATCAAAGCCCTTTCCAGATCAAGTTTGTACTGCTACATAACCTAAGGCTTTTTTGTTATTTCCCCCCCACACACACACTAGCTGGTATATTTGATTATGGACTTGCGGCTTGACAAAGTGAGAAGTTATTAAACCTGCTCCAGCAGGGAGTTTGGGTGTGGGAATACCTAATTTCCATTTCCATGCCTTAGTGTTTGCCAGACTGATGCTCTGTGTGACCAGCCCTGCTCTTTTCAGGGCTGAGGTTCCTGTAGCAGTTCAGGGACAGCACCTCTGAAGGTGCAGCAGTCTCTGTGCAGCTTGTTTACCCATCAGGGCTCAGCGGCTCACTGTGACTGCAGGGCTCTGTGTTCCTCCCGGCATTAAATCCAATTATGTGATCTTTGTTTGAAGGGAGAGGTGTGAGATTTGTCTTCAGCAAACAATAATCTTCTCGGTGGGCTGTGAATTGTAAATAATGATTCCTTCCTATTTTTGGAAGCGATTTGCATCCATCACCAGTTTATTAAGACCTGAATGAGGCAGGCTTGGAGAGCAGAGTGTTTATTGGGCTGGGTGCCTCTTGCTGAAGTTGCATGGACTGTTGCATGGCTTTTGCTTTGTCCTTCCTCAGGGCTTGTAAACCCACTCTCCATTTGACTCTTTTGTTTGTTTGTTTTCTCTTTCAGGACAGTTATTCTGAGTGACGGCCCTTGCTCACGCTTCTGAGTGGTTATCATGGGCTTCATTGCCTTTCTGAAGACCCAGTTCATAGTTCACCTCCTCATTGGGTTCGTCTTTGTTGTGAGTGGACTGATCATTAACTTCATTCAACTATGCACGCTAGTCCTCTGGCCCATAAACAAGCAGTTTTATCGCCGAGTAAACTGTCGCCTTGCCTATTCCCTTTGGAGCCGTGAGTATGCCTGAAGGGGATGTGAGGGCGTGGGGAGGGGAGAGGGTTTTCCTGTTTTCTGCTTTTGTTAATCACAGAAAAACGTGTATGCTTATGTATATGGATACACACAGAGAGAAGAGAGAGAGAGAGAGAGATGATAGGCTAGATGTTCGACTCTTTCAGAGCAGTTCAAAACAGCCATTTTTTCCTGAAATACTGGGAAATCACACAGTAGTCAAGGGGCTGATATATATTGTCACTCTGTCGTTCAACGAAGTGGGAAGTAAAGCTCCTCCCCACAATCTACTCTATCTGGACTGATAGGACTTGCTGATTCTGTCTCAATGCCATCTTCATCCGGCATCAGAGCCTGTGCTGAGTGAAGGGAAAGGGAGAATTCTGAGACTGGCTCAGGTACTGAGAGCATGTGGGATATTCACCACTTAGGAGCCCAAGTCGATTGTGTGCTCTGGAGGGGAAGTGGTCTGTCTTAGGTCTATAGCGTAGACATCTCTGTGGCTGAACTGTGTGACCACTCCAGAGTCCTTTTACACCCTACAGTGTCTGTCTCTGATGCCAGGGTCTCCTCCTGGGAGCAATGTCACTTTTCTTCTGCCTGTGGGTCAGCTTGACAGTCAGTTCAACTGCTTTGCTCTCCTCTTTCAGACCTTTGCAAAACTTCCTCCCTGTGGATGGCTTTTTTTTTTTTCCTCCTCACAGATCTCAGCAAGGGGTTTGATTTCTGAAATGAGTGTTTAGAAGGCTCCTTAGCCCAAATGTCACCTCCTGTTTCAGCAGTGAATCATCTAATCGGTTTCCACTCTCCATCCCCTCCCACTATGCACGGCCACTTACCTTAGTGCTCAGCTCAGCATCCAACTCCCACTTTGGCTAAATGAGTCACCACAGTGAGTACTGAAATTGCAGCTGAGCAGTCCACTGACAGGCACCCACATTTCATAAGTCATCGATGTGAAGTACTACCAACAAAACCTCTCCAAAGTATCTAGTTTGGTTTCTTTTTTAACCTTGTTCTTGTCCTTCCTGTGCCTATTGAGAATGTTGCCTGAGAAGTACAGGAGAAAGGAAATTAAATAGAGTGGCAGGCAAGCTGTCAGGAGTAAAGGTATTGTAATGGAATAGCTTAGGAGAAACGTAAAATTTGGTTGGAGCAGAGTGGAGGTGTATGGGATTTTTTATATTTAATTTGCTTGTAAGAATTTCCTAATATGCTTTTAATAATCTAGAATCTAATTTCTTCCTGAAAACTATTATTGCACTAACAGACTTGTGTTTCTCAGGATATGAACTGCTTGTTCCTCTAAGGCTTGTAGGTTCAACCCTCTACAAGTTAGCATTGTGCATTAAAAAAAAAATCACATTTTAAATGCTGCTGTCTCAGGTCTTCTAAACACTGGAATAACCCACACTATTGTTCAGAGAGGTTTGGAGAAGCTGAATAGATAATTGGGTTGTACCTAGAATAGCCCCCAGTGTATAGCCTGTGATAAATTAACTCATTGAGAAATTAAACTGTGAAAATTAATGCGAATGTTATATGGGATTGCAGAGTGCTGATGGCCTGTAATGGAAAAGCTGACAGAATATGCACTTCAATTGTGATTTATACCAAATTAAGTAAGCCGTGTAAATGCAGCAGCTTAAATGTTGCCATTCATAATGAAATATATGTCACTATGGGGAAGCCTTTTGGCCATGAACCTGTAGGTTGGTGTTCTGTTCTGGGTGCTACATTTTGCTCTCTTACTCCAAACTGTTTATATTTTCAGGCCGAGGATGTTCATGTCAGAGCTGTCTGTAAGAGAAGCTGCTCTGCCCACCTGGCAGGGGATCAGTGTGCAGAGGTGGATACACAGGTGATCGTGTATCTGGCTATGTACTGAAAACCAGGCTCTATTCTTATTGTATCTCCTCCCAAATACATAAAGCACAGCTTCTGAAGGGGAGGGAGAGTGACTCTATCCAGTATTTGTGGCAGACATACAGGGAAGAAGGTCTGTTGGGCTCTGTCCCCAGTCCTTTGCAATTTGTGACAGGTAGTGTGTAATTCATGCTCTCACACATCAGCTCCTTTCAGATGACTCACATCTTTGGAGAGTGCAGCGTGTTTAGTTTGGTCCAGCTGCAAAAATAATCTCTCAAATGTTGGTACTTTCAGCTGAGGGATGTGCTGTGCCTCTTGTCTGCTTTGTTTGTGAGTGGCTTGTGAGGCTGTAAATGTACCTGGCTTTGGTGTGTGGGAACCCCAGCCACAGGGGCTGGTTGTAGCAAGGTGTTGCTTGCCCTGTATAGGAAATATCTTTGGCAGTGTGAGTCTTCCCATCCCATCATTCATAAAGATGTGCTTGCTGTAGCATCAGTGGGATCAGTGCCACGCAAAGTAGCTGTAACCCACACAGCAGAAAAAAAAAAAGGAAGTGAGCCTACTCCTGGTTATAATTACATCATTTATCAGTACACTTGTAAAAGACAATCTGTTTCCTCATTTTCCTTCTTTGGCTCATCAACCCTCCTCTCTCAGTATGAACTCTGGCAAATCCTCCACTATTTCGGAGCGAATGGTAAATGAAATGCTCTGCAGACAGACATCCACACCTGCCTCTGCAGATTTTTTTTCCTGATTTTGAAGAAGAAACACACCCAGTTTATTGTATTTTCTGATAAGAAAGTGCAGCAGCTGTAGCAGGTACTGGAGATATTCCTCCTTAGTACACAGACAGCAATGGAAACGGAAAGTCGTTCCAAGTGCCACACTGTGTTTGGTACCACTACTGCATTCTCCTGGCCACCTGCTTGGCAGGTGCTCTCACTGAGAACAGTCTTGCTGTCCTCTTTCCTCTTTTACTGAGCCAGGATAACCAGAGAAAGGAAGGTAAGTGATCATAAAGGAGACAAAGCTGGGAAGTGGCAGTAGAAACCTCTAGCTGGTGTAAACGAACAAGACAATTCTGTCTTTCCTCTGCTGTATTTCCAGTTGACCAGGGTTAAGCTCTCTTAAATCAACAAGTTGCAAAACTTTGTCATGCCTGCAAATGAGCAAGTATTGAAAGTGATATAGGGGAATAACCTGATGGATGAGTAAGTGGTCATGAGTGAAAAATCTAGTGCTAGAGAAACTCTGTATCTTCAGCACATCGGGACTGGTTTTCCCCATCACTCACCTAAATACTGTGTTTGCCTTCTCTCTGATGTGGTGCAAAATTGGACCCACTCTTATTTAGCAGAATGGGTAGATGACCCTGTCTGATCCTGATCAGAAGCCCTTGTTCAGGAAGACACTGCCTTGTTTTGAAAAACCAGGACCTCCCAACGGGAAATTGAAATAACTCCTGGCAGAACCTGATGTAGGGAACTGAGGGGACACCTTCCAGATTTGACCCTGCAAGTTTATTGTAGTTATGTGGGAAGAGCTGGACTTTTTAACAGTCATATTTGTGCAAACAAATTTTGTTTGCATCCATATCTCGTTGAAATGAGAACATACCAACGACTACAGTTTGTATGGAAGCAAATCTTCCTGCTGGGAGAATGAACTATTCTCATACTTTTTATAGCTGTCCCATGGTACAAGAAATGTCTTCCATCTGCCTCGATGTTCTAAAATGAGAGAAATAAGCTAACCATAGCAACTACAGTCAATGCATGCTGAATTTAAGTGGAAGGGTTTTTAAGATGAAAAAAGGGGTAGCGGAAAATAAGGGTGGGTAATGGAAAGGAAATATTCGGGGTGGAGTAAGAGGTGCTACAATATCAAAAAGCTGGAGAAAGCAGAGGGAAAGGCTCATTCTTTTGCAGTAAAAGACACAATTTACCATTCCTATCTTTGCCCAGGTATTTTGATAAATTAGCTCAACTGTTTGCTGTTTGGGTCTGTGTTGATGATCATAATACAGAATGATTAGAGCCCTTGTTCTAATATTAAAACCTCTCGCAGAAGATCTATGGCACTGCATCCTTATAAAAGACCTTTATTGGTCTGTTTACCTCCGTAAAGCTTGTTTCATGTTGAGTAAAAGCATTAGGCTGCATCTATGCATAATTTGTATTCCACCTGGGAGAAGCTGTACTCATTTGGTGGAGCAATCAACAGCTCCACTGTCTGTTTTCAGGCACAAAGTTTTTGGGCTTTTTTTCCCAGTGATCATGAAATTTCACATTCATAATGCAATGCCCAAACTTGCTAAAATTATCCATAAATGCATATGTCTAGAGCCTCTAAATACTGCTTAAGGATGGTGATGTCGTGTTTGGTCTGTACCCATCCAAGCTTTCATTTCATCTCAGCTGGGTTGGTTGGAGTAGGTGACAGTGTTGGGAGTCAGAAGGGACCGGGCACTGGGTGGGGCTTGAAGCTTTCTGCAAGGGGCACCCCTAACACCTCTCCCCGTCTTCACTGTGTTTGTTTAGAGTTGGTAATGCTGCTGGAATGGTGGTCAGGCACAGAGTGCACCTTGTTCTCAGACGAGGCCACGGTGAACACCTTTGGGAAAGAACATGTCATCATCATCTTGAATCACAACTTTGAGATCGACTTCTTGTGCGGCTGGACCATGACGGAGCGCTTCGGAGTGCTGGGGGTATGTGGGGCCTTGGGCTTCCCCTTCATCTGCAGGATGCATTCAAAACACAGACACATAGTTTCCTGCATTTAACTTTCCAGATATAATCCATCAGGCTCTTCATCATTCTAATTTGAATGTATTTGATCTCATTGTACAAATCAGCAAATGACATTTTTGGATTGTCTCTTTTTATTCTTTTTTTTTTTTTCTTTCTTTCTCCAAGAGTTCCAAAGTCCTTGCTAAGAGAGAGCTACTATATGTGCCCCTAATCGGTTGGACATGGTACTTCCTCGAGATTGTTTTCTGCAAAAGGAAATGGGAAGAAGACAGAGATACAGTTATTGAAGGGTTAAAACGTTTGTCTGATTACCCTGAATATATGTGGGTAAGTGTTGAGTTCCTTCTCTGGTACTGACTGCCAGAAGTGAAATGGTGACAGAGGTGGTACTGTGGCCTTATGTGTCAGGAGATGGTCTGCTCACTTCCAAGTGTTGTCAAGGAAAAGCCATGCTCTGTTTGAGGAGGTCTTTTGGGATATGCTGGTAAAAAGTTTCTCTGTTTGCCTGTTGGTTACAGAAGTCATTTGGGAAACAGTTCAGAAGCTTAACAATAATTTATAGATCAGACTTATGTAATACTTGTTGATTTTGCCTGAACTTACTTTTTACCTATAAAAAAAAAGCCTATATTTGATTACTAAATCTATGTGATCTTAAGCTACATCTTCTGAGGCAGGCTGGAGAGACAAATAAGCAAAGAAGCCTTTTTTGGAGGAGTGAATTTGGATGCACAGACCATGGATTTTGATAGAGAGTTCCTGTTACTGTGTTCATTGATCTGTGAAATTACAAGTTTCCCAAAAAGTGTCTATGAGAACATATGGCAAACTTATATATGCTTTTGCAGTTACATTTTTCCTTTTTATTTTGACATTATTTGAAGTCAAGGGTAAAACATCTCTGTTTCATTATGTGCAACGTTAGATTTTACTGCAGCAACACAGTGGTATAATCAACCTACTAACTTCCTTAGAGCTTTGAATACAAACATTTTCATAAATTTTATAGCAGCACATGGAATGTACAGTTACTTGGCTTATAAAATATTTTGAGGTTTTTCGTGCATTTAAAGTGATTTTTTCAATATTATCCAGTACAGCTTGTTAAAATGAACAGTGAAACATTAAGCCTTAACTAGAACATTGTGAATGCATTGTAATTTTCTACCATTACAAAGATAGAAAAAGTAAGAATCTGGAGAATGTATTTTCAGCTACTTAATTGCTTGACTGTATGGATATGAACTATATTTAATATATCCTCCTGATTAGTGTTAGGAAAAAAGAAAAAAAGACAGAAAAAAAAATCTACCAATTAGAATATCTCAAGACTGAACTTTAGCTATGCATTTTAATGATTTTACGACTGAGAACCAAGGACTAGTCTCTAGGGAAAACAACCAGAAAATATAAGTGCAGAACGTAGTTAGCATTGATTATTTAAATCAAGACATCCTGCTTGGTAATTTAAATCATGATTAAAATTGACTTGAGTGGATCGATTTCCTAAATTTTGTGCATTCCAAGTGCCACAATTAGGTCTGTCTTTTTGTCGCCTTAAATTTGGTACCAGTGTTGGTAAAATTAAAGGTAATCTCAAATGAATTGTGAGGGGGTGCTTATGCCTAGTAGTTGATGAACAGATGAGGCAATTAAAGTGTGTGCACATGCATGGATGTATGTTTATCTTACACCAGTTTTCTGGTTTCTCTTGATCTCAAGTATCCTTTTTTTTGCCTCTTGTCCCGTACTAGTTTCTCCTGTACTGCGAAGGAACTCGTTTTACAGAGACCAAGCACCGTATCAGTATGGAAGTAGCTGAATCCAAGGGGTTGCCTAAACTGAAATACCACCTGTTGCCCAGAACCAAAGGTTTCACCACTGCTGTCCAGTGTCTCAGGGGAACAGGTACTGGCAAGCTGCTGCTTACCCTTTGCATCACTTGTAACATGTTGTTTAGTACCCTCTGTGTAGTACAGGGTAGTAAATTCTGTTTTTCATGATGTCCATGGCAATTAGTGAGCTGGCAGTAATAAGCACTCAGCGTGTCAGCTCTTAATTTGTAAATTGCCACAGAACTGTCAGATACCAGCCTTTAAAAAAATAATAAACCTTTCATATATGTCATTGTTGCTTAGTTCAGCATGTCAGCTGGTGTTTTGATAACACACGTGCCACAGAGCTGGGGATGTGGGGTGGCTGATGTGGATAAATATGATGCATAAACACAAAGTGGTGAGGGACTCTGCTGCCTGACATCATTAATTCAAGACTTGCACAAGGCTCTGTTGCTGTCTCAGGCAAGGATGCCGGCAAGGTGGTCGCTAGAATTGCTACTGTAACAGCCATGTTTTCTTTTTCTGCAACAGTTTCAGCAGTGTATGATGTAACACTAAATTTCAGAGGAAACAAGAACCCATCTTTATTAGGAATTCTTTATGGGAAGAAATATGAAGCAGATATGTGTGTAAGGTGAGCATATACTGATGGAGATGAGCCCTAAGATGCATACTTTGGCATGTTGAAGTGCATTCAGATTTTGTGGGGAAACTTCCTTTCCTATTCCCCTTTTCCTTGTCCTTCAAGTTTCTCCGCAGACCACAAAGATCTCCCTGTTCCCCCTCGTGCCTCAGTTCACTTTCATGTGGGATCCCATGGTATCACCCAGCAAGTCAGAGAGCGTTGGACGGACTTTTTAAACCAGGGTGTGACCACACTGTCGTTCCAGGGTTTCCCTGTTTTCTGCAGTTGAAGATCTGTCTGCCTTTTCTTTCTTCTCTGCTGGAAGCAGAAAACCAACTGTCCCGCGCCCTTCCCAGTCCCTGTGAGCATGTGTGTGGTGTAAATAGCCAGTCCAGCTTCAGTGGTCCCTTGCAGTAAATAGTGTAAAGCGCCCTCCTGGGCCAGTTTCTCTCCCTCTCACATGGTTTGATTAGCAGATTAGAAGTTAAGCAATGCTGAAATTCAGGCATCCTGTGAATGAGGTGGGACATTCCTCACATTCCTCACTGCTCTTTTGCCTAAAAGAGTAACTGCTAACACCTAACTCCATGAGCATGTACACACGTGCATACACAAACACACATGCTGTTTCTTTCTTGCTTTCTCCTTGTTGCCTTCTCCTTTAAAGGTTTCCTTGTGACCATAAGAACTACCAACCCTTTCCTGCTGAATTTCTTCTTTTCCCTTTTACGTTTGGACCTGACAAACGACCTGGTTGTTCTTTCCACAGTCCTTTTGCCAGTTTGCTTCTGCTTCTCTGGGGGCTTCAACCACCCTTTGGAAAACATTGCTGTGTTCTGGTGATGAGGTCGATGCTTGGTTTTTAAAAAGAGAAAAGAAGAAAAAGCTTTGATTCCCCCCACACCTTTGCCCTCTGGCCTTAGGTCTGTGGTGCAGGTGAATGGCACTGGCTCTATACACAGTCCATCTAATCAAAGCATGTGTGTCTTGCCAGAGCCATCAAGGGTGAGAATCTTTGTAGAAAATCACACTGATCACCTAGTGCATTGGAGTGGAGCAGCAACAGTTTTGAGGAAGAAATGCTGTCCTAAGGGAGGCAGAGTGCTTCAGGCTTAATGGGGAAAGAAGGGGCACAGTGCTCCAGTTCTGCCCTCAGAATAATGTCCAAAACATTTTAGTCTTTCAGGGGGAAAGGAGACTGTGGAGCTGCCTGTGGAGAGGTGAGGTTGCTCATTTGCAAGGGTTTTCATTTTGACTATTTACTCTTGCCAAACATATTCCTGATGAGGAAAGTGAACAGACAACTTGCCAGCCAGCAAAACAGGTGGTCAGGCAATTGCCACCTGTAATTCCATACTGATGGCAGATGCATGTAGGATATCTCGCTGGACCTGGGGTACCCATGCATGGATGCACTTCTGTACAATTATACACTGAAGAACAGCTGTCTTCAGTGAAATATCCTATGGCTTGCTCACAGAGGTGCAAGTGGGTTTTATTTCTTGGAGAGGCAGTGGGAGGAAAGAAGAGAAATGTATTTTTCAATAGTGTTAGAAGAGATTTGGGTTCATAAAATCCTGTTGAGAATGATGTTGCCAGGTAAAATTAGCAATTGTACCCTATGAAAGAAACTAATGGCTGTGTGTAAATAATTTCAGTTTAACATATGTTTGTGAACTGCATCAATATTCTCAAGGTGCTTTTCTACAGCTTAAAGCTTTTTCTCTGTTTCGGAGTGGAAGCTGTGAGAATAAAGAAACTATTTTTATGGTTGGTTTTTTTTTTTCCTGAAAATGGAACATGTCCTTATTGTGCCAGAAGACTTAATGTAGCTCAGAGAAAGGAAACACGTAAGCTCATGTTCTTGGTATACGTGTACACAGTTACCTGTGCAGAGGTAAGCAGCTTAGCTCCCCGAAGCAGATAACAGTCTTTATCCCAACTGGCTACAGAGAAAATAATCAGGAAGTTACCAAATGTTATTGCTGTGAGTCCCCTCTAGTGGTGGCACAGCAACACCGTGACAGCTTCACCAGAGAGCTTTCAGCAAATGACTTTTTACTGAGCATTATTTATATTAATTGAGCAGCTCCTCATGGTAGAGGTCATGAAGGTAAATCTGTCAGATCTGGCGTTCGGTTCATTTGTGGGATGCAAAAATTATTAGAAATTAATTAGAATGCATTCACAGAATTATAGAATGGCTTAGGCTGGAAGGGACCTTAAAGATAATCTCGTTCCAACCCTTCTGCCATGGGCAGGGACACCTTCCACTAGACCAGGTTGCTCAGAGTGCCATCCAACCTGTCCCATCCAGGGATGGGGCATCCACAACTTCTCTGGGCAACCTGTTCCAGGGCCTCACCACCCTCTCAGCAAATACTTTTTTTCTAATACCTAATCTAAACCTACTCTCTGCCTCTCTGGGCATAATTTTCACAGGTACCCAGACCTGCATGCCTCAGTCTGCAGTGCTGGAGAGGCAGAAGGGACAAGTGCAGTCCCTGCAGAAGATGACATTTTCCTCAGAGTTGATCTGAAGCGAATTTTTAACCACCTCTCCCATTAATTCCTAAATGGGCTTTTCTCTGCCAAAATGTAACAGACAATTATCCTTGGGTTTCCCACTTGCTTGTGTTTTCCCAGCTCTGGGTGCCTCAGCCTGAGCTCACTGGGAATCAGCCAGTGGTGGATGTGGTGAAGGAAGAACAGTGTTTGAGTGGGAAATGCTTATTTTACTGATGTGAGCTGGAACTGATAGGAGCTTGAACAGTTTATTTTGTCTTAGGAATATGACTTTTGTAATGAAGAATTGTTTGTTTTCTAAGTCCTGGTTCTTCTCTGTATTTAAGACCTCTGCCATCAGTGACAGTATTGCCTGTGATTTATGCCCTTCGCTGAATGGAGGATCTTCCCTAATAGAGGGCTAAAGTCAAATACCTGGATTTTCCCTTAATCCTTTTTTGTTTTTCTTCTTTCCTTTTTTAATCTCTACTAAACCAGGAGATTTCCTCTGGAAGATATCCCTCAAGATGAAAAGGAAGCTGCAAACTGGCTTCATAAGCTTTACCAGGAGAAGGTAAACAGCTTTGCTTTCTTTTCTGTCTTTTGGGACTTTTCACAGGGAGAGTGTATTAAGGCAGTGAGTAATGCACACTCTTCTACTGGATGGAGGGAAGAGATAGGATATTATGTATAATTAGGCAGCCATCCCTCAAACTGCTGGAAGGAGCAGGACAGAAGAGCCCCTTGGCAGTGGAGGGCTGGCCAGTGAGTAGGTCTCAAATTGCCAGGAAGCACAGAGGAATTCAGAGATACGCCTGAGCTGTGGAAGACTAATAGCAATCCACTGTCTTTTTGCATTCTTCAGCTCTTGGATCTCTGTCACAGATTTCTAAAAGCTCCATTTTCCCTGTGGGTGTTTTTAGGCACTCGAGAAGAGTGATAACTGTCTGTCAGGGACAGCCAGTCCTGGCTTTCTGCTGCAATTGTTCTTTGCTTTCATTTTTCTTCCACTGTCACTTTCCTTCTGCCTCCTGGTAATACTTCTGCAGTGGTGTGTGACATGGTGTGACAGTCCCTGGGATCTGACGCCAGGGACTGGTAGAGCACATCATGCCTTCACATGGCTCAAAGCTTTTCCTTTTTTTTTTTTTTTTTTTTTTTTTTTTTCTTTTTTTAACCTCAGATGGTTATTTTCTTGACTGCAGATTTAACAGTTCTGTGGGGAGTAGGAGAGAACTGTAATCAATGTTGTCCAGCCCTATCTGGTGGATTTTTGAACTTCAGATGTGTATCTTGATTTCTGTGTTGTTTTTCTTTGTGGAAAGAAAAGCAACAGAAGAGCAGAGAAACTTTAACTGTCTTGGGCTTTCTCCAACTAGGATGACCTGTGCTGCAGCATTTCCAAGCTTGTGCTTAGTCTGTAGGTAGGCAGCAAATTGTTCTAAGTTTCAATTTTATTTAAATTTTAAGCTCTAATTCAGTTAATGAGAGAGAAGTTATCTTACAAAGAGCAGTAGCTATCATCATCTTTTCCCCCCCTATCTCCCATTAGCACCCTGGAATTGTTAAGGTTGGAAAACACCTCTGAGATCATCAAGTCCAACCATCAACCCAGCACCACCACCATGTTTACGACTAAACCATGTCCTCAAGTGCCATATCCATGTTTTTTGAACACTTCCAGGGATGGTGACTCCACCAGTTCCCTGGGCAGCCTGTTCCACTGCTTTACAGCATTTTTCATGGAAATTTTTTTTACCTAATATCAAAGCTAAACCTCCCCTGGTGCAACTTGGCACCATTTGTTCTCATCCCTCCTGATATTGGCTGTAGCTCCGTTCAGCTTTGGTGTGGGGTGTTGCCAGGGAGGTATTGCTCATATATGTGGGTATTATATATATTGATCTCAGGGTGTTAGCACTACTTTGTAACTGGAATCCTCTTCCTGCACGGAGGACTTATCCTCAAAAGGCCGTTACTAGCAAGGAATCCCTTGCGCTTCTCAGTCCTTTGCAAAGTAAACTTAAAGAGAAACAGTTTAAGCAGGGAAAAAAAAGAAATAGCCAGACTTGAGCCAACCTCGGTAGCGGCTTGGAAACCTTGGAGAACATTCCTACAGACTGAGGGGGGACTGTGGGCGTCTCAGTGACACGTTTCAGGACTGCTTCTCTCTGCAGGCTCTGCTGGGGATGCAGGAGCTGGGTTGGAGTCCCTGGGTTGTGGCTGGCATGGTGCTGTCCCTGCTCATTAGCTCATTCCTTGCCTTGCCCTCCTGGCTCTATACACAACATTTTCCTGCTAGGCTTTGCTAAATCATGCTGAACTTTTTGGAAATAAAAACAGAAAGAAAGAGCACCCAGCTAAGAGTGCAAGTAGTGCCTGAACTGGCCTCTGGCCTGATGCTGCCCTCAATTCCTAAACAATTAAGAGATGAGATGAAGGTATTTGGTAGTAGAGAGGACAAGGTTTCAGTTTCTGGTGATGGAAAAAATTGCCTTCAAAGGACTAATACAGTCACCTTGGCAATCAACAGAAATGCCCAGAAAAATGACAGCAGATGGAATTGGATGCTGTGCACTCTTGATGGGTGTTTACCATGGATACTGTCCTTTGTGTTCTCCTGGAGTTGTCTAGTCTTGGCTTGCTTGGTGCAAATATTATGAACCTGTTTTCTTCTCTCTTTTATCCAGGATGCTTTGCAAGAGATGTATAATCAGGAAGGCATATTTCCTGGCAAGCAGTTTAAACCTCCTAGGAGACCATGGACTCTCCTAAATTTTCTTTTTTGGGCCACAGTTCTCCTCTCTCCTCTCTTCACATTTGGCTTTGGAGTTTTTGCAAGTGGATCACCTCTCCTTATCCTTGCATTCCTAGGACTTGTTGGAGCAGGTAATAAAACAGAGAAGATGCCAAGCCCAGTGTGACACAGAACAAGATCTATTACCTCCAATAAGTTCTGTGTATTAATTAATATGAATGGGGCTTGCAGAAAAACACTTGGGAACTCACTCGGTAGTCTTTATATTGTACAGCATTTTAATTATTTCAAAAGCTTTAATTCAGGAAGATTTGCCTTCATATCTTAGGCAATAACTGTAGTAATCAATAGCAGGTGAGTCTTGTAGCCCATTATTATGGTGCCTGAAGGAAAAAATACTTTCACTGGACAACTTGTCTGTGTATTAAAAAACAAACAAATACATAAACCCCAACCCTCGCAACAAAAGAAAAACCTAACAAAAAAAAACAGGGGTGAGGAAGGGGATATGCTTCAGTGTTCATGCTACATGTCCTGTCAAACAACAGAAGCAGTAATTATATTTTTTAATCTTGATTGTCCCACTCTTTTAGTGTCAGTTGGTCTGCAATCACTACTGACTTGGGGGTTGGGTGAACTCATGTGGGTTCTGCTTGTGTGTTCATATGTGGCTTCCTGAATCCTTGAACTGGTTTTAATATGCCTCTCGTTTCTCTGTTATATTTTAAAGCTTCCTTTGGAGTTCGTAGACTGATAGGAGTAACTGAAATAGAAAAAGGCTCCAGCTATGGCAACCAGGAATTCAAGAAAAAGGAGTAACTGACAGCTGCAGTTCAGCACATATAACCAGACTATGGTATCCCATTAACTTCAGTTAAAAAAAAAAAACAACAAACACTTAGAAACTATCTTTTTCTTAATAACTGATGACTAATATTAATGAATAAAACTTGAGCCAAGAATGAAGACGTTGGAGGCATCGACTGAAGAGAACACGTGAACCTTCTGCCTGTTTAAGGATTACTGTAATCAAGCTATGGGAGAAAATCTGGGGTGGGGTGGAAGAAGAAACTAATTTTTCTTGCTTTGTTGGGGGACTTGTGGTGGGGGAGAAAAGGCCACATGGCCACGTGTGTCTTCAGATGACTGAAAACACTGGTTTCTGTCAAGAGCACTACACTCACTTTTACAACAGGAGCCATTGAATGTTTCCTCTTGCTAAAGCCAACGTAACGTTTATTGATTTCCAACTTCTTTTACTAATGAGCCAGGAAAAAACACCCTTCTTAAATTAACTGACAGGTGTTCATGGGGTTAGAGTCATTTTGGCTGTGTTGTCATGGCTACAGATGAAATCCTATTTGTACGTTACACTGATGCTTTTTATTTTCAGGCAACGTCTTAAAACTTCCGTAATGAGGGAGAACAGATAGTGGAGTTTGGAAGCAGTGCATTATTCATCAGCAGTTCCCACAGAACAGATCCGTGCTGAGACAGTACAAAATTCCCATCACATCTCCTGCTTAACTGCTCAAGGCTGTTTAATTTCAAAATATTACTTTAGTCTTGAGTGCTGTTTGCCCTATTTCACATCATGTATGATAATTTTGAATCTGTTTGGGCTTGTTTTGTTTTTTTGAATCAATGATTGACCATGAGATTTGGAGTTGTGCAAAGAAGGAAATTTATTCAGTTGTCCTGAATGATTTCTCCTTTTATTTCTGCTTGCATCTCTCATTACCAAAGTCCAGTTCAGCCAACCTCTCGCAGTAAACTGGGAGGCAACAGCAGAAATCAGCACAATAGTTTTCAAAATGTCTTCTTTTGACAAAAATGCAAAAAGGAGAGGTCTGGAGCAGTCAGATTTCAAATGCTGCCGTCTCTTGAACTTGTAATGAGAGTTTCAGCAGTGATTCAGACGGGGCCAGGATCTTACCCTGTGTGTGTAAGAATAGGGTGTGCTGCACTTTTGACTTGGCCATGCTTTAGATGTTCATGTGAAGTTATACTGCAAGGTAAGCTGTGCTGTTAAGCATTAGAAAGAGTATGAGGTCTCTTCAGGGATTTTAAGTATCTTTAGTTTTGCTTGTTGACATTTTGGAGTTTTTTTTCACTGAAAATTAGAGATCAGAATCATGTCTGTTATCTGTCTCTCTCCTTTTTTTTCTTTCTTTTTTTCCTTTTTCTTTTTTTACAAACGCACATTCAGAGATTTTTGTAGATTGCTGCTGTATGCAGAGCTGGAGAACTGTTTGCAAACAGATGGTAACTACCTGTATGTTCAAGTCTGAAGGTCACAATCTGCATTTGGCTGCACTGAGAAGTGGGTGAAATGAGTTGCAGATTTACAACTGAGGGCAGAAGTTGACCCTCAGGGTCTGTATCTTTAACCCAGCTGCCACTAGAATATTTGTCTCACTTTTGTAAAGAACAGATCTTATCAAAGCACTGGTTGTTGTTTTCATCTTTGCTCCAGTAACCAAGAGAAGAGAGTAATAATTTACCTACTTTTCGTATTTACTCTTAACTGTTGGAATGTAACCTCTTCTCCCACAGGTTTTTCTGTTTCCAAACACTGGAAGAGCAATTTTATAACTTAGAAAAATATTTTACTTGGGCTCATTGATCACTGTTCTGTCATGCACTTGGTTTTTATTTGTGGTCTTTTCAACAAGAGCATTTGAAGGATGACCTATGTTGTCTGTCTCCTGTTAGGCTCAACCTTGCTGAATCCTTGTACCCAGACCCCCAGCATTAGTATGTCATCTTTGTCCCCTCAATAAATCTTCCCTAAGATAGGGGATGCAAAACTGTTGCTAATGTTAGTGGAATTTGGAATATGCCTTGGGAATTGAGAAGAACAGAGCCCAGCCATGACTCTGTTGTCCTTGCTGGATGTTTTTGTACTTTGTCTCTAAATACAGTCAGACATCCCAGTGCTGATAAAGTTAACTCTGGCTTTTCCCTATTTTTAACAGGAGGACTAAGAACAGTGGGGTTTCTTTCTTTCTTTTCTTTCTTTTTTTTCTTGAGTAATTCAGTAATGGGTATAATTCTTGCTTCCTAGAAAGATGTTACAAATGCTGTATACTTGCTTCCTGAAGATGATATTGAGTATATATAAATTGTACTGGCTTAGCAGAAGAGGCTTGCAAAGCAGGCTGACCACTGACTATGTTTTATACTCTACATTTTGAACAGTATATTAATGGGCATGACAAGAATTTCACAAAATAAATCCCTTCTTAATGCTGAGAAGAGGGGAGCTGCTTAGAGGAGAAGGGAATTAATAACCTTTCTCTTTACAGGATCCTTTTCTCCTCTTAGTGCATGTAACTCCCTATTCAGAATCATGGGATTAGTGCATGTACATCAAGGGGAGAATAATCAACATTTCATATTTTCTTATCATAACTTATTGGTCATGCTTTCTTTTTGAAAATATAATAAATACATCATCAGATACTTAAATTTTGCTCTTCTAAACAGACATATCAGTAACCTCTTGAAAAACTGAAACATACAGCAGTGCACAAACCAGTATGAAACCAACAGAAATCTCTTCATTTTGAATTTTATCTCCTCAAATAAGGGTTTTTATACACGCGTGCGCACACGTACACGGAGTATGTATAAATTAAAATGACTGAAAATAGCTGAAGTTAATGTCACTAATGAAGATTAGCAGCTGGATTGGGTTGAAGAAGTGAGCATAGGTTTTATATCTTATTTTCTTCTGGTTTAATAGAACATAGCTTGTATATTTGACTACCAAGCCCTTTAAGAGCAATAATAAACAAAAATATATCATGTTTTCCGTCTTTTTGCTTTTCAACCACGATAGGTTTAATAAAATTACAGCTATGAGAGCGTTTTCTCTCTCCACCTTTCAGAATTTTCATTTATTGCTTAATTGTTCAGAGTAAATTCCGTGTTCTCCAGTGTGGACTTGCAAGCTGACTGCCATGGAGTGCAGCATTGACTCCGAAAAGGAATGGTTCTCAGACTTACGTGGACAGATGGTACATGTGTGCTTTTGGCCTTGGCCATGAAGAACAGGGATGTTGCTCTCCAAGTGGGATTTATAGTTCCAAAGCAGCATCGTGTTGACCTACGTCTAAGAACCCTCGGAAGCTGCTGGCATTGTGGCATCTTGGTTAGGAAGGCACAAAAAGCTGATGCTGAAGAGGGACCTGATACCCAGAGGTCTTGGCTCGGTGGGATTACAGTTCTCTCTTGCTCATTGTGGGCTGAATGTGCTCTTGCAGTTGACGTTGCATCACTGAGTGAAATACCTGTCTCCAGCACAAAGAGCATGGGCAACGTTCCTTTGTTCTGCTTTAAATTACCTTGAAGGGCTCTACACTTAATTGCTGACCAATGAATCTGACTGCTGCCTGTGTCCTAATTGCCCAGAATTCACAGGAAAAGTGAGTGTGCCTGCTCACTTCCCCGTAATACCACTTGTCTCCATCACCGATGTCTGTATTTTTGCTCGCCTGTATCTTCTGCAGATGGTTTGATTGCGACCTCTCAGCTGGAACTCTGAGCTCACCAGTTCAACCAGTCCGGCAGAAATCGTCTCACACAGCTGGGGTTTTGTCTTCCTGAATTTTGGCGCTGGTTGACGTGCTCTGCAGGTCTGAAGTGACACAGCCGCGTTGCTGTTACGCGATAGTGCAACTTTGCTAGTTCAGAGCAAAACTTTTATCAGGGAAAAGAAGCCCTTCCCAGGCCTGCTCATACAGGCCATCCCTACCTGGCAACAGGTCTCTCTGGCACTGGTGAAACCAACAGAAAGGAGTTGGGGCAAGGTCTTTACCAAGGGTTAGAGTAACTCTCAAGCGGGAGTAACTGTGCCTAAAGGTACTGTTTCTGTCTTGGGACCGCACAACAGATCTGGTTTTGCTTCATGTACATTTTGATTAAAGAAGTGTGGAGTCCGAGGCTTTTAGTAACACTGAGTTCACACTACACAGGGTGTTTCAGATTGAAGACAGATAATCTCATGTCTCCTGGCATCTTGGAAAAGTGTGTATTAAGAAGTGTAAAGCCAAGCTTGGGCAGACCTCACCCATGTGTTTCATGCAGATGCTGGAGGCCAGTGCCGATAAAAGTGAAAAATCCATTCCTTGACCTCCTTTTGAAGATCAGATGCAGTGCTGTAGCTCATTGTCTCCTGGGTGCCACGTGCTTGTGTCCCTTGGTGTGAAGGTTCTGTTTCACAGCAGATGATTGCTACACGTTCTGGTTTGTGGCTGCATGAAGAAGCCCCATCCCTGTTACGGCAACGCTGAATTTGTGCTCTGTCCCAGCTACTTGTTTCTGTATTTCTGAACTTTTTGATCATAATGGGCAGCTCCAGGGCTGTTGGGGCTGAGTGAACCCGGGATGTGAAGCAGGGGACAGCCATGCTGAGAGCTGCAGGATGCATCACAGAAGGGAGGAGGAACACCACCAGCAGGTCCAGCCAAATTCTTTCTCTGAGAAAACTGAGTGATTACCAGGAACGCTGCAAACCAGAGATAAGTGTGTGTATGTGGGAGGCAAATTCTGACTCAAATATGAGTGTGAGATCTCCCTGTGGCAACTTACAAGATAACCCTTGCCATGTTCACATGATTGGGGTCAGAATTCGTCTTAAAGGCTTGTTAGAGATGGTAACTCTCATTCTGCCACACTCCCTCCCTGTTTGTCTCGAAGGACAGTTTATCTGATTGACTCAGCAGTCTCTGCAGCAAGATCCTTGCAGATTGTTGGTTGTGGGGTTTTTTTACCTGCTGTGGTTTTGAGGGAAAACATTCTGGAAGTCAGGGTTACAGGGTCTGTGCCACGTTTGTTAGCCACCAGAAAATGACTTGAAGGTATTTCATACTTTGGAATTGGGAAGAGAGTGGATTGGCACCTGTAAGACAAACATGTCATGTTTCTCTTATCCTCAGCCTCTCTAGATTTATGGAAAGCTGCCTGTATTTCTTAAAATGTTAGACCTGTAGTTACCAGCTACTCTTCCGTTTTTGAAACTGTGAACAAAGTTAATCTGTGCACTTTCACTGTTGAAAGCACTTGAGTGTAGCTGATTGTCTACTTCTAAAAAGCTTTACATTAGCAGAAACAGCATTTTATCTTTTTAGGAGGAAATGTATTTTAAAAATAGACACTTGGGCAGAAACCAGAATATAATAGTACTTTTAAAATTTAAATATAAAATTTTAAAATATACAGCAAATTTTAATTAGAAGTATTCTTTAGTACAGGGGCTACCACTACCAATTGGCAGTCTTACACAAGTTTTGTTTCTTTTTTTTTTATTTTGGCCAACGTGCATTTTTAAGGAAAACACACCAATTTACTAATCATGCTAAAACCTAATTTCCGGGGGAAGGAGAGTAGGTAGCAGAGCCTAATCAGGAATTTTATTTTTTTTTTAACCCGAGGCATGGACTGGTTCTGTGAACCTCCTTTATAACGTGCATGTGCATCCGTGCAGAGAGCCAAGCTGTGCCCCTTTGGTTTTGTTTTGCTTCAGCTTTGTCCGAGCTGCACCTTGTGACAACCTGAATGCTGAACTCGCCTGAACGCCCGGCAGGCGCTGCCGGCGCGTCGCTCACTCCTCAGATCACCAGCAAGTACTGTAGCTTTAACGAGAACCTTCCCTCTGAGAGAGCTCGCCATCCTTAAGCTGATTGATTTGTTGCAAACCTGTCATTCGGAGGGAAGTGTAAGTACCAGATGATCGTTATATTAGCCAAATCTTAACGAGTAATAAAAAAAAACTGTATACAGGGTATGCATTGAGTGTGCATGTGTATATATTTTTGTACGTTTTTACAAGTTCTTTCCTACACTTGATTTTATGACGTTCAGAAGAGAGGTGTCTGAATCTCGTGAGAAGCAAGAAGCTATTAAGAAAACCCAACCTACTGTAGTTTTTACTAAGAACTGTGCCCGAGCAAATACGCAGATTTACAGTGCTATGCAAATATTACTTTGTAAGTTGTCTCTTAAATTTTGCTTAACTAGTTCACGCTGTTTTTATTGGGCTTTCAGAAAAAGACAAACACAAAAGACTCATCTTGTAAAATAAAATAGCTTTGGCTGTGTGAAAGTACTGTATATTAGAATCTCATTCACACTTTCAGTTGCTTATTTAACTGTATGTGATTTTGTACATAATATGCTGGCATAGAGGAGTTTTAATTGTGCTCGAATGAAGAAGGGTGACAGCCCAGCATCTGGTTTTTTTGCAGTGTTTACTGAGTAGCCAATAATGTAACAGGGAGATATGCATCCTTTTCCTATTTGCCACTCTGGTTTTTGTAACTAAACATGCACTAAGGGCTATTTTATTTTTGCTTTGGTTGGTTTTATTTCCAATTATGCCTTTTGGTCTCAGTCCTGCAAACTGATCCATGTGAGGGGATCGGGTCTGCAGCAATAACCTGGGTGGATCATTTTGTGGGGGCTGGGAGGTAAGAACAAGCTGAACCCTGTGGGCATTCCCTGCACAAAGCCAGTCCTTGAGAACTGTGGAGGGACAGTGCATTGCCAAGGCATTTATGGCAGCAATATATAAAGTTTTGCGTGGCTCCTCCAAATGATCAGAATGGGGGGGAGGGATCTTCCTTTCCTGAAGAATCCTCCAAAGCAAACCCAAAGCTGTATGATCTGAGAAGTTGAAACTGCAGTAGGGTATGGTGGCTGTGTGGATAGATGCTGTTAATTAAACCAATTTGTCAAATCAGACATCTTTTAAGTTTCTATTTTTCACTGGAAGATAAAGACCCTCCTCAGCTGTTCGCCAACATCATACACTCCCACCTGAGAGACCCCCTGGATGATCCCTTGGCATTTTTGCTTTCTTCACCATATTTTTATCAGAGAGCTGCTCAACAGTAGGTCATCTCTACAGTTTCTGCCTCTACTATAGCCCTGGCCTGGCTCTGTACCTGCTTGGGCCCCTGGGCCATCAGCTCTTCTTTAGCCTATGTAAGCCTGTAACAAAAAAAACCCCAAAAACCCCCAAACCAAACCAAACAAAAAACCCCAAACAAAGAAAAAGGCATGTGATAACATCACGTTCCTGGGTCACCTTTTTGTACACTGAGCTCAGTTTCTCCTGTTGATTTTCCCTTCCCTAATCCCTTCTCCTTTGAATAGTCTAGGTTGGGCTGAGCTGCCTTAAAATGACAGATCAGTTGCATCGTGTCACTGTGTGGGCAGACCTTTTTTGTGGAGAGGCTGGGCTTCAATTCTAAAAGTATGCAAGCAGAAACTTTTTTTCTATTACTTTTCAGCTTGCACAAATACAGCTTTTCTTACCTCTGTGCCTCTGTTGGATCTCCTTGGATTCATAATTCATTTTTGAAGGATGATGATTTTGATCTGGAACCAGCCAGTGTCAGACACCACAACTGCCTATACTGAGGATGCAGAAGCAGCCAGCAGTGGGGTGTGTGGGCAGGGGTAGGTCAATGGGGCAGTGTGTTACTGCAGTGTTTGACAGCCAGCTCTGTGTAAGGGAGATGTGGAAATGGAAGAACAGGTTTGCTCCCTGGATGAAGGCACAGGGAATGTCGTTAGGTGTTTTTTTTCTGTACTAAGCAGTCCACACCACAGTAACCTTTAAACTGTGGGAGCTTCTTACACACCCTCTCCTTAAATTGCAAATGCAGTAGGAAGCTGACTGGGGCTGGTGGCTGCAGTTCTGTATGTCGCTTTTCTAGAATCCTTAATCTTACTAATTCCACTGTTTTTCTTCCCCTACTGCATTGATATATTTGGGAAAACAGTCTGAAATTCCATAAAAGTAATGCTGTGTTCTCAACACCAGATACAATCAGCTGCTGCACTGGGAATGAGTTCATGGTTCAGATGTGCCACCCTCCTGACTGCTGCTATGTTGGGCAGAGGGCTTTTAGTGGGGAGGAACAGGCTAATGCACTTTCTACATGCTTCTAAAACTGTAATCTGTTCCTGAGAGGCTTGACAGAGTGCCTCTAGGAGAGAAAAGTTTATGTAAGTACAACAGAATTTCATAGGTAGGTAAAAGGTTAATAGCTGTGGTATGGGTTAAGGGAATACTCTCCTGGATTTCATCACATCCGTGAACCTGTAATACTGTATGTCAGAGTCCAATACTCTGACCAGGTTCTTTCAGGTGTAATGTTTAATTCCCCCCCTGCTAGTTTAACTCAGGGAGATATTTAAACCACTAGTTGATCCACTCAGCTGTTGATCTAAACCAAAGGCCACCCTTCAGTCCCTGGTGTGTTGAGCTGAAGTCATCTTGCTCTGCCACAGCTCTGGTCAGTCACACCCTGCATCAGGGGACCTTGACAGGCTGGAGAGGTGGGCTGATGCAAAGCTCTTGGACTTCAACAGAGCAAAGTACAAGGTTCTGCACGTGGGTTGCAGCAATCCCAGACACACCTACAGGCTGGGCAGGGAAGGGATTGAGAGCAGCCCTGCGGAGAAGGACTTGGGGGTAGTGATTCACAAAAAAACTCACCATGTCTCAGCAGTGTGCACTTGCAGCCTAGAAAGCCAAATGTGTCCTGGGCTGCATCAAAAGGAGTGTGGCCAGCAGGCTGAAGGAGGGGATTTTCCTCCTCTACTTTGCTTTCCCATGTGGAATACTGTGTCCAGATGTGGTACCCCCAACATAAGAAGGACATGGGACTGTTGGAGCAAGTCCAGAGGAGGCCACAAGGTTGTTAAGAGGACTGGAGCACCTCAGGCTGAGAAAGTTGGGACTGTTCAGCCTGGATAAGGTTGTGTGGAGACATCAGAGCACCTTCCAGTATCTGAAGGGGCCTGCAAGGAAGACAGAGAGGGGCTGTTCATGAGGAACTATAGTGATAGGACAGGGGGGGATGGGTACAGATGGAAAGAGGGGACATTTAGGTTAGATGTTAGGAAGAAATTTTTTACTGTGAGACACTGGAACAGGTTGCACAGAGAGGTTGTGGATGTCCCAACCTTGGCAGTGTTCAAAGCCAGGTTGAATAAGGCCTTGAGCAACCTGGTCTAATGGGAGGTGCCCCTGACCATGGGAGGGGGGTGTTGGGATTAGATGATCTTTAAGGTCCATTCCTCTCTGTTAACATTCTATGATTCATTCCATGGACTTCACAGGCACATCACCCTCACCCTTCTCCACTGAGCCTTCTTCTTTGCTAGGGGGTTATTGGCCACCCACAAAAATAACATATATGAGACCAGTATATCATATGATATATGGTAGGATATCAACACATTATATGAGATATATATATATATATATACACACACACATAAATAAGTCTCCTGTACTGCCAACATCATTATATTCTGCTGTGATCAAAGTTTGTGCCAATGGGGCAACACTGCAGTGGGCTCCATGATGAGCCTGCTGAGGGTGGGGCTGGAGCTGGAGCTGTGCCACCAGAGGTGGCGTGGCTGGAGCGGGCGTTCCTGCTCCCTGCTGGAAAGGCAAAGCACGTTGTTTCCCGAGGCATTTGCTAGAAAGCAGAGTGCCAGAAGCAGGTGACACCTTACCATCTGTGGTAAATGCCTCTGCACGGGCTCTGCACGTGACTGGCGGGATATGGAGAGGAGGATTCCAGGGGATGGATTGTGAGGAACGCTGTGCAGAGCTCTGTTGACTCTGATGACAGGTTGTTTTACTTTGCTGTGACTTGTGATGCAAACTGCCTTTGTTTTTCGTTTTGCTGACGCAGGGCAGCATTTGCAAAAGCCAAATTCAGCCGTGGCCTAGTTATCTTGTGACATTTCTGGTTTTTTTCACTTCTCCGATGAAGTAACAAGTGGCTCTGGGCTAGTGGTTGCTCCATTTATGAGGAAAATCAGTAGAAGAATGAAACTAGGCAGGGTTTAGGAACACGTATAAATCTCCTCCCACCTTGGCTGCAATGAAGTACAAATTCTACAAGTATTTTCAGAAAAATGCTATTTTCTTGTATGCTTCCTATCAGCTCAAAGCTCCTTGTCAAAGGTAGAGGAGTGCTACACTCCCCTTTTTTCCCATCTTTTAATTCAGCTGTAGCAAAGTGATCTAGCCAAGATTAGGGCTGGAAGCTGCATATTTTAACTGTAGATCTCCACCAGGCAGATACACTTCAGGATGCTGTTACAGGCTGCTGCTTCCAGTCTGTGGAGGGAAGGCTCTTGTGGCACTGCTTCAGGCTCTCCCCTGGCATTTGTGTTTCCCCCATCATGCCAGGGAAGGGTGAGCCTTTTCATGGTGGTTTCCAGAAAGGAAGGCCATGCTGTGCCTTTGTCCATGTGGGACAAAACTCTCCACTTTATAACGTGGCCATGCAGGTCTTGTTCAGCAGAATGTGGGTCCTGCAGTTTGTTTGCCCACCAAGCCTTTCCATTTATGAGGTGACACTTAAGATGAAGAGTTCATCTGAGCCAAATCCTGTCCAGCCCAATGTGGTGACTGGGGTGTGTATAGTTGTCTCCTTAGGGATCAGCAGCCAGAAAACAGCCCCATATTTTGTACAGTTACTCTTAGCAGGCAAGAGAGGACAGCAGATGGAGGACTGTAGACTGATGGCCACTGACTGCTGCCCTTTGCCTCCGTGCAGCAAAGCTGCTTTGTAGGTAAATTAAGTGGGGTCCCCTGTGCCACAGAGCTGAACTGATGCCCTGAGGCTTCCTGGGGGAAAATCCTTCCCATTGTGGTTACTCCTTTCTTCAAAAAAACGTGGCAAGTGCCAACTTTGAGCAAACAAGGCTGACTTGTTTTATGCACAAGTGGGCTTTCTCCCAGCTGTGAGCCCTTACTTTAAGCAATTGCACAAAAATGAGGTATAAGGAAAATGCAATCACTGCTGAAAGCTCTTTCCTGTTCTGCTGCTTCCCATCTCCCACCCAGCACATAATCATGTAACTCCTATCATTTACAAAGCTTCATTCCAAAACTCAGATTTTCTTTAATTTAACCTTTTTTTCCCCCCGTTATTTAAGAAGTTGAAGGTTTTCAGCACAGAGGGTTTATTGGGGTTATAATGGCATAATCTACCAGGATGAAGAAGCATTGCTTCCTCTCCCTGCCAGCAGGTAGGTTCAGAGTGAGACTCACTAACTGAACATGATAAAAGTTTACCTGGCAAATCCCATAATTATTTTCTGATTAATTTAATGCTAATGGCTCACTTAAGGGTGGAGAAGACTTTCTCAAACTGCTAAGCAGTGCTTCCATGAAAGGGCTTTTGAATATTCTGCAGCTGTGAGGTGTGGACAAGACACAACCATGTGCTGCAGAGTGGAACCCTGTATTTTTGGGGAGGGAAACTGGCTCACACTGGGGTTAGTTCCTTGTCAGATGGGAACAAACCAACACCATCCCCCCAGCACCCCTGTAAGATTAGTAAGGCAGGCAAGGGAAACCTGCAAACTTGTTATTTCCTGAGACTGTGCACTCTTTTTGCTGGCAGCCAGACAAGAAGGCAGCTGGCCTGTCTAAATTAAGTACCACACATAATGGAACATAAATTATTGCTGTTGACTCCAGCACGATAACATGGTTAGGGAGAAAAAATTACACGGAAGCAATATGGGTTTGTTGGGTTTTTTTTCTTATTCTCAAAGGGATCTCTCAGTGGAGCAACCTCTGGAGCTAATATTAGGTCTGGGAATTTTACAGGCACTAATAGGCTCAGGCACATGACTTCCTTTTCAGTCTGATGGGAGTCAAGTGTTTAATTCCCTTGGGCTTCTCAGGGATCTCAGCAC